AAAGACGTCCCAACTCCTCCTCTTTCGATTGACGAAAACCGCAGATCGCTAGCTATTGCGGTTGTCGAGTTCTTGAGCTTACACCCACCCCTATTTAATTCTGGCGCCGACAATAGTCTTATTACGTTGGAACATTTGCTGAGATAATAGAAGTTGGACTGTTAATTCCGAATAGGGATCATCTGTCTTTCGTTCTTAACGATAGCAATATAATAGTGTAATTATCCGTTATTAGATTTACTCTTAGTTAATAGGATACTAATTTGATGACAATTAGTTCAATTCTGAACTACGTATAATCAATAGTTTTATTTTCAAAAATGTGACGCTTGAAATTTTGTTTTTCTTCAAAAGACTTGTATTATAGACTCATTCTAATAGAATAGCAATAGAAATTAGAAAACAAAGGATTTTACTGAGAAATGTAGTATCTATCCGATTGAGATATTGTTTATTGGATTTGTCGCCTTTTTAATCAGAAGATTATTGCATGGTTATTTCAAAGTGTTTTTTGCTTTAAACACTTTATAGTACTTCTGGTGGCATATTTATTAAAATTTTCTTACTTATGTAATTTAAGCTAGCTGGCTAGATATTATAAAAAAAGAGTGTCATGCAACAATCTCTGTTACTAAGTAATTTACAAGTTTCAATTTATAGATAATCATCTCAGCTTTTTTGAGTTACTTAGCTATTAAACGCTTTCACAGTAACTTTAACATGCTTAGTGAAGTCAACGAAAAGTATCAAACACTTTCGTTTTCGTTGCATTTTCACACCAAATTTATTAGTATGAAATTAGAGTAAATCACAGATGTTTGCTACTCGTGTCAGAAGAACCATTGTTTAGAATGGTTGTTGGGATCTATATCACATTTCTGCTGAACTTTTGATGAATTTTGCTCATTTTTTCATGTTCTCTGTGAGTCAGAAACTAAAAAAATATCACTCGAAGTGACGTAGAGCGCACTTTAACTGCTTCGATGATTTCTGGTGTGCTACAAATATATCAAAAAAATTAATTAATAATTGTAAAACGTGTTCGCAGAGCAGAAAGAGAAAAAGATGGGTGTAGATGAAAGTGCAATACAATGTTGTCATTCACTCTCTGAATATGCATTATATTGAGAATATATAATGTGAAAATTTTTCGACTGAAATTTTTTTCGATACCCATTTTGCTACTGTCAAAATGAACTCAGTGTCAATTCAATAAATCATTGGCATAGTATATGCTGTCCGATGAAAATTCAAAATAATTGAATAATGTTCTCAGAGAACGAAATGCAACGAACGAGCTGTTTTACTTTACTTGATTCTGCTATCAACTGTAGCGACAGTATGTACAACATATTGTGAGAGAAAATTAAAAAATACAGAGGAAAAAAGGGCGAAAAAAAAGAACGCAAAAAATAAGAGCCAATAAAAAAGACAGATATACAAACCTTCAAGATGTTTCTTGTTGCTTTTTTTTTTATCATCTACGACAATGCAACAAATATTTTGATCTATTCTAGCCCGATTAAAGTCTAGAACACACTACTTTATCAGAAATGCCAAATTTCAAGTTTGACTATATGTCGCAATGTTTTGGTTTGTCAAATTTTTGTCCCAAGTAGAGAGCGGATCTTTAAAAGTTTATTGAACGCTGCTAGAGTTGATTACTAAAAGATTGAGAATGATATCTGAGATTAAAAAAAACTACTAATGTTGATATGTTTCGCTATTATGAAGAGTAAAACTGCATTACACAACGTTACTTAAACGCACTTATGCTGTTCCTCAGTCGTGCATCGTAATAATTGTCGTGTGTGAATTTATGGGAGTGTCAGTGAGAGTTCACTGTTCAGCCTCACCCACATCTTATTGAAGCAACAGACTATATCAGAAAAATAATATGACTTTCTGTATAATCTTTCTTCACTTTATATGCTATTTGTCAACAAACGTGGTGCGATTGTTGGTAATGAAAAAGATGAACTCAAGATTGTTCCCTTTTATCTTTTACTTGGAACGAATACTTTTTGTTTTTTGGATTCGTATCTAACAATAAAACAAGTTACAGAAGTAAGTTGTTAACTATAGAAGAACTCGATGTCACTAGATTTATGCTAGAAAGAATATCAGATACTATAATACGAATGAAAACTTGATTTGATTTAGAAATTTCCTTTTTTTGTGATACAGCGTTTTGATATGAAGTGACTTATGACTAAAAGCTGACGATATATCTTGTCCTCGTCATATAGCGATCACATCTTTTATCGTTCGATTACAGATTGTTTAATAGTATTCCATTGTTTGACTGTTCTACTTTTTCTCAATTTCCACTCTTCAATCAAAATACAATGTAAGTTGATTATTTCAATTGGTTTCAGAAGAAGAGAATCGTCAGTCTACTATGAACGTAGACATTGATTTGACAGATGAGTTTTATTAAGAAAATCTAGTAAATAGAAGTCGACTGTACTTACTATAATATTTAGGAAAAGATCTTGTTGTGATTAACAGATCCTGTGAATCAATTAAATCTCGATTGAAATATGGCTCGAAGTAGCAGTAAATATGTTTATAACTCGGCGATTTCTCACCGTAAAAGTCGATTTTTTTTTTGGAACTTCCGAAATAGAATCAATATTGTGACATCGAACGATGTGTCATATATCGAAATTTAACAGTTATATCATTTTCTACGAGCAAGGTAAGGCAACCTGTACTTGATTCATTCAATTTTGACTTGTTTCCAATTTCATCACTTCAACTGAGCGACGCTCTTGATTACATATCTCCATTCAAAATGGTTGAGAAACGCAATCGATCACTGTGAAAAGAAAGATATTTTTTTATTTGAAAATATATTTCATTAAAATCTTAGTAAACTCTTTCACAATGATGAATTTTCATTCAAATAGCAAATTTTTGAAGAAAAAAATCAACATAAGATTTTCGCAAGCATATTTAAACGAATTTGATCATTGTATTCTTGAGTTGAAAGAAAATAAGATTAACGTCCCGGTCTCCATAACATGAGATACTTTGTAAATTTTTTTCTGGACATATATTAAAAACCGTTTTCTTGTTTACAAAATTTATCATTGTAATCACTTAACTAAAGTAACTTTTATTTCACCTGAAACATTATCAATTTGAATGACTTTCCGTTCGATTAATCTTTCCAATAGTTGTCGGTTGCGTTCTAATTGTAGTACATCAATCAGATTTTCACCTTTTAAATTTCTTCTTTGCAAATCACATCCCTTCTCGATTAGAAATTCGACTAAGCATTCTCGGCAACCACGTACCTTCAGACAGACATAAAGCAATGGATCATTACCATTTTCGTCAAATTGATGAACAAGTGATGGGGATAATTTCAATAATTTTTTCACAATTTTACATTCTTTCTTCTTTAATAAAACGAACAAGAGATCTGTACTTGTTAACCATGTTCTCAATAGATGGTCATCTAAGAGAGCATGGAAAAATTGTCTTGCTGTTCGATTTGTTGTCATTATATTTACATATTTTTGATTATTCCATGAATTTTGAAAGAAATTTCGTATGCGTTCATTTGTATGATAAATAGATAGCAATGTAAGAAGTTGGTTGTTTTCGATAAGATTATCTAGAATTCTTCGAAATGTATCACCAAAATCTTTATCCAATAGTATTTTATCTTCTAGACTATAGTCGTTGAGTATAATATCGAATAGTCCAATTAAACTTGCGTAAATAAAGATTTCATTGTTTCTGATAATATCTCTCGGAATAATCGTGTTTAATATATCCAAAAGACATTTCTTCGCCCAAACCTCCTGATTAAATATATGTTTCAAACATTGTATAATAAAGAGAAGTAAATCTAGAACAGCTTGATAATATTGCATATTGATAGAAATCAATGTTCTATTAGAAAAAATATCATTTGTTAGATTAATAGAATAGCATAGAAAAAAGTGAATGCAAAAACCATCAGAGTAAAAATAATCTTGATTTTTTAAAAGACTCGGATTTGAAATAATGAGTGTTTTAAACATTTGAATGAAAGAATCGATCAATAGCTGACTAGAATATTGAGCTATATTAAGTTTTGCAAGTAACAATTGATTAATTGCTTTAGCAAGATTGAATTCACAGGATTTTCTATCATCGCATTCAAGACGAGCACCTTTTGTTAAAACAAGTGATGTGATTAGTTCAATATTTTTGATAGATATAGAACATTTTTGTAAATTGTTGAATGATTTATTCAATTCTTTGTCAATATTTCGCATCTCATCATTCGTAAGATGTCCACGAATAGATTGAAAGGATTCCATATTGGATTGAAATTCATGTTTCAATCGATTGGATTGTTCTTTGATGAAAGAGACAGCTAACGATTGAAAACATTGTCGAAGTGCTTCGTCACTTTTAGTTATTGTCATAGATGATAATTGTTTACATATATCATGAAATAATGTAGAATTGTAATAGTAATCGATGTTTGTATCATCATGGTGTATATATAAAAAATTAGTGAATAAATGCAAACGTCTATCAAGAAGAATTTTATTCAGACGTTGATTTAATCCAGAAAATGTTCGAAATATATTATAAACATTACCAGCATATTCTAGAATAATCATTAAGATTTCATCGGACAACGTTTCAAACGTAGATGGCATTTGATGATATGTTTCTTATTGATAAACATGAAATAATCACTCGACATTTGTTTGTACATGTTATTTCACAATATGTGTGTCATACATGATTCATTTAATTTAATGTTGTTTTTTCCTTCGTTATTCTCTGCATCAATAAGAAAAAAGTGATATCAATAGGCTGACCTTCGTAAGTGTTCAAGATTTGTACACGAAATGGAAAAGATAGCGATCAATAAAAAACAATGCTAAACATCAAATTTCAACATTGAAAATTCAGTGTCACACTTTCACCTATAAATAATAACATATACCTATTCAAGCATAGGTCAACTGTGTCATTGTATTCTATCTCGACAGATATCGTTTAATGTTCATAAAAAGTAAATGAAGGTACATTTTCTGTCACTCTCGCCCTAATATATTGTTAACTTGAAATGGAATTATTAGCAAAAGTAATAAATTAAAAGACGAACGAGAATGGCAGTATCACGATTCGACAAAATTTTCATTCCTGTCTGTTTTATCATAGAAGTCTCGAATGATCAATTATGATGAAAATATCATTCAGTTATCCCACTCCTTACACTTCAAGAAATTTTACTCATGAAATTCGTTGAATTACTTTCAATAACATAATTCTGCACTAGAGAAAGAAAACTATGAATTAGATGACTTTTTATAAAAAGAAAAACTCTAGGAATATCTGGAACAAAGAAGAAGGGTTCCATTATTCCTCTCCTGCTGAAAGTTTTGAAAATCGTTACACTTCTTCAATAGACCTTGCAGAAAATTTGAGTGTTCCTCCAAAACATTGATCCTTCCAACTAAAGTCCTACTATTCACGAAAGTTTTCGCTGTTGCAACAACCCTTACACCTATCCAAAAGGTGTAGAATGTGGGTGCAGATTTGAATATCTTCTTCCCGCAAACTCACATCCACACTCTTGTCTGATTAGCTTGTTATATTAATTTTAATGTTAAATTTAAAGAATAAACATTTTCATTCGATGTCTTGATAGAAATGAGTGAAATAGAATAAATATGATTTTATAGGCCTTTTTACAAAAAATCGAAATACATTTTTGAATTTTATTAGTAGAAGTTCAATAAGTACTGAAAAAATTTCATAAAAATCATACATTACTTCTGTATGATATGAATGAGACTACATGGAAATACTATCAGAGATGAACTTCAAGAAAATTTTCGTATATCATCAATTTTACTGCTCTAGTTGATTAATTTATGTTTTTGAGATGCAATTTAATAGAGTTCTACCTTTAGTAAGCATTAAGCTATTCTCTAAACCATATAACAAAAAAATATAGTGTAACTTATCCGAAAATTCATTGAGAATTTATATTATAATAATGGATTGTTGTAGTGAATAACTTAACGTTCTTACTGTTTAATTGTATGACTTATTTAAACCTTACTAGTTGATGGATCGATTAATGGTATAACTGATGTTAACTGATGGATATTGATTTAAAGATATATAAGAGTTGATTGAAAAAAAGAAACTCAATAGGAAGGCAATCAACAACAAAATAAAAAAATCATCTATCAATTATGAATGACTTATTCAATGCAAGTATATGAAATGAAATGTAAACAATGTTCATATAAAACAGATTGCAAAGGAATAGATAGTCCGATAAAATTAGCATCGTATAAAATCGATGAATAGGTCTCATTGATTGAGTAGAAAGTCATTTTTAAATCTCGTACAAATTTGTACATAGTACTATGATCGATCAGCTCGGATTGATGTTTTGACTTGTTCGACAGTCCCATCAATTCAGTTTTATGTAATACTTGAGCGCTAATGAAAGTAGATAGAAGAAAATGAGAGACACATTGTGTTATACTTTCTTGGACTTGAAACGATCTCATGCAATGTTTTGTTTTCTTGAATAAGTGCACCTGATGAAACTGAAAAATTAATATCTTTGTTAACAAAATAGAACGTTTAAATGCTTTTGTAATTAATTGATTGAGTGATGATGGTTTAATCTTTCCCACCTTTATATAAATGAATTATCATTCATTCGTTTTTTCAGTATGTATCGCATACAAAAGCAGCACTGAACAGCTTTACAATTGTAAAACATTGTGAATAAGATACAATATTCCGTCTACAGTTAATTTCCTATTGACATCAATTGCATTTTTATAATCTACTTGTTTTTTAATTAGTTAAGTTAGATAATCGTTTTATTCTAGACTTTATACGAACTTTGCTAACTCAAACATCGTTTATTTTATTTAATAAATACAAAACACATTTTATAAAAATGAATACTACAAATCTTGCAATCATAGCCATTCGAAAAAGAGATTATCAGCTACACGTTTAATTGTAAAATTCAATAAAAGTTTTTCAAAATGAATCATTCTTTTTAATTTTTTTAATTATTTCATCATTTGCTATTGGAATACGAAAACACAATAAACAAAGATGGTCATTACAATCATCTTTTATTTTTTTGAAAATATATCGTAGAACAAATTTAAAATCCATACGTTTTATAGAATTCACTTTTAGATATTCCATATAAGGACATAATTTCAAAAGAAAATAAAATTCTTCAATATCATTCATCATCTCAAGGTATACTTTTATAATTTTGCTTCTATCTTCCATTGAAGCCAAAGTAAGAAGTTCTTCAGAATTTAACATTCTCGATCCACGTAATGATAAAGAATGAATTTTTAATGTAGTAAGTTCTGGTAATAAACTTACAGCTTCAATTAATGCAGCAACATGGACGTTTTCTTCTGAAATTTCCAAATGATAAATTTGTGCTACAGTCAAAATGTGTGTAGTATCTATCGTCATAGGCTCCTCAAAATCATCGTTATCAACAAACGTGACAATTAGTCGAGTAGATTTAGAATATTCAACAGAAGAATTTAAAATCTTCTCTTGTGTATATTCATACCATCTTTTTCTAATAGAATAAACAAAAAAATAATCTATTTCACTAAAAAAAGATATTGTCAATATGTACTTGTATGGACGAACAAAATAATTGATAGATTCATGATCGATTTCAACTTCAAATGTCCATTGTCGTTTAATCCAAAACGATGAAATGAATTGATCTGGCACTCCAGGATAATGATATTCTCTATTAAAATTTTCAATATATTGTAAATAGAATTCTTCCAAATGAGGTAAAGATTCTAAAATTAATTTTTCCCATCGATGAGCAACAAGAAAAGTTATATCTTGAGATTGAACTTTAACACGTAAAACTTTTAATTTGACGTCTATTTTTCTAATGATTATTTCAAATTCATGAAATTTTAAACGATTCATAGGTATCGAAATATCTGTTAATTTTGATAATGTGATTGGCAATATAGATTGAATATTTGTACGAAAATCATATGCATTAAAGAGATGTAGACGACGAAGTTGAGATGTATAAGACATAATAGAAAAAAGTTCATTGTAAGTCCAAGAATGATCAATGGAAAGATATTCAATAGTACTCAATCGTTGATTGGTAACTATCGGAAGTGATATTCCTCTATTATAATCTGACATGATTATGAACGATTTTAATGTTGGTAAGGCAAATATCAATCAATAAATATCATTGAGATTGTCAGCATTATTCGATGCGTTGATGGTTAAAGAGAAAAGACGAGGTAGACGAGCTAAATTAATAAGAAATGAAGTATAATTATTTAGTCCTTGTCTAATAGAAAGTGATTCGAGACAGATTAATGATGAATCGAAAGTAAACCATGAGAAAGAATTATTTTTTAATATTGAACATAAATCGATAGAAAATATTTTATACCGACTAAGAAGATATAATTTATAACCACTTATATATGGTTCACTATACATTGAACCATAAAGTGTAACTTTAAGTAAAAGAGATGAAGAACTGAGAAGTTTTTGAAAACGTTGATTAAGATATGAAAATGCTTTATATATATCATAACCATCAAGGTAATCAAATATTTCATAGAAAAACTCATTAGACAAGTTTTCCATATAAGTTATTGATCGATCAAATTCATCTATTTATATGAAAAAAATACAAAAAAAAATATATTTATTATCCAAATAACTTACTACGTAATTTTTTTGCTTCTTCTGTTGATGATTGATTAAAAATGAGTTTTCGTTTAACTTGATCCATATGTCTGTGTTTTAAAAATTTAAAATTAAATGGATGATTCCTATCTGAACAAAAAAAAATAAAATAATTAACTGTTATTCTATACTTCATAAAAAGAATATCATCACTGAAAACACGACTTTTAATGATAGATATTTCTTTTTAAAAGTCATGATGAAAATATGTATCAATTTAGAACTTTGATAAAATATTTATCTATTATTCAATCTAAAAAACAGAAGATTATTGCTTAGAAACAATCATACAACTGTACAGTGTGATGCACTGGAGAATTAACTGTATCGTTATCATCGATAATGATCTTTACCTTATTCAGCCACTTTATCAATGCAATCATGTGGTAGATCAATACGAAAATATTCTTGTTTATGGATAAAATGGAAAAGAGCTCGGAAAAAATGAAGAAAGTGAGCTCGGAGCGCTTAATTGGGCCAAAAAATGAGGAAAAGAGCTCGTTTTTTTCTCCAAGCTCAAATATAGGGAAAATGAGCTTGCAAAAAAGCTCATTAACGTTAAAACAACTAAAATATAGGAAAAGAGCTCGGTCCGGGACGATGAAGAGAAAATCAAAATATAGTGCTCTAGCTTATGTATATATGTATAAATATAATCCTATATGACAAAGAGAAATCTTACTACTGCTATATTTATTATTTATTAATGTATAATAAAGATGCATAAGATAAAGATATATAATAAATCAGGGTGTGGGTGTGTGAAGATATCGGTGTGTGGGTGTACGTCTTCTCTTCTTACTGTCACCCACACCCACACCCACACCCACCCTCGTGCCCATGGTCTACCGGTGAAGATTTATGGTCATTTTACTGAAATTTTTACTGTGAGTCAGGCATTCCGGGAAAAACCAAAATGAAGAATTTCGACCTGAAATTTTACCTATAGGTAGATTTAATAGTCATTATATAGTCCTGAAAGTTTCAACGACAACGAATCTGTCTTTCTCGAGATATTCAATGTCCAACTAAACTGGATTATTGTGTCTTCCTATGGTAAACAGCTGGTTTTTTGAAAATTGAATAACTTGAGACAGGCATGTTCGTTTTCGTTGAAACTTTCCGGACTATCTAATGACTATTAAATCTATCTATAGGTAAAATTCCAGGTCGAAATTCTTCATTTTGCTTTTTTCCTAAATGCCTGGCTAACAGTAAAAATTTCAGTAAAACGGTCATAACTCTTCACCAGTAGACCATGGGCACGAATTCTTTTGGGCTTTTTCTTATCTCAATATACTGTTTCGAATGAGATGTGAATG